ATATTTTTTAAATGATTAATTATAATAAAAATTTATAAATTAATTTTAATTTATTAAATAATAAATATAAATTATTTTATTGTATTAATTACACAGTCAAATTTGAGCTTAACAAAATTCTGGGCGGCTAACCACCACCATTCACAAAACGTTTTGAAGAAGGTCGCCAGTCGCCCTCGTCTTGACCCGACGACTGGTGTGGGTCATTCATCGGGTCATCAACGCCGTGTGTCATGCATACCTGTTTGAAGGGGTCATGTTCATGGACTAGACCGCATGAAATGACCAGGTTTCACTAGGGTTTTTTTTTTTTTTAACGAGGGTAATCGTTTTTTTTTATATAAGTAATAATTAAAAAATTAGTTTGGATTAATTGTTAATAATTGAGAATTCGATCCTTAAATTGAGTGAACATTTCACCTCTCAAATGAGGGCGCGTGACCATTAGACCATTTTTTGGTGGAGTTCACGACTGTAATAAAGTTTGAAACTCTGACTACCTCACCCAAACATTAAGATTTAAAGTCGAACCATTAAATCTAAATATCCTGTTCCACTAGGGTTTTCTTTTTTTTTAATGTCTTCCATTGCCGCCGACTCTACAGTTGCAAGGCGCACGAGGACCATGAAATGGGTCAAAGTTTGCAAAGACCCAAAACTGCCCTTCCTTTACCTGTTGGAAATCAACCAGGGAAGGGAACAAAATTGTAAAATTGGTTTTGACATATTCTTTTCATTCCTGCTTTCCTTTCCTTTCCTTTTTACACATATTCTAATTCTCCAATCTTTAAAAACAATATAAATGTGTCAGATTCGTTTGGAGATTTCCCAGCAACTTTCCAAATTCTTGGGTCCCAAGGCGGCTGCTTTGATTTCTTTTTTTATTTTATAAGCACATCTTTTGCCCCAGCAACAACACCATGAATTGGGTTTCTATCATTTTTTAAGGTTTTAAATTCTAACTCCATCTGCCCTCCACGAATCTTGGATACACAGCCACTTTTCAAGCACAAGATCAGAGTTAATTCATTGTTCCAGAGTAATGCTCTTGATCCTCTTCTGTTACAAGTACCATTTTCATGGTGATATTTACCCCCTTTTTTTTCCTTTTCTCTTCCTCTTCTTTATTTTATATTGGTATTTGATTGTTGCATAGTTGTACAATTCATAATGTTAATTTTCTTTATTTTTCTCATATGTTTAAAACTATTGGCCAGTTTGATTTTTTTTGCATGTATTTTAAGTAATGCCTTTTATAATGTATAATAATAATTGAAGTTTTTTTTTATGAAACGAAACTACTCAACAGGAAAATCTTAACCATCATTCATATAATATACACAAACATTGCTTAAATTTAAAGATATACAAGCAAAATGAAAAACAATTTTATATTTTTGAAACGGTTGGAGTAAACAAATTTGATTAAATTCTCCTAGAAAACGAAGTTCTTTTATGGTAGATATTTAGCGTATGAGATTATGGTATATAGGTTTGCAGCTGTAGTAACAATCACAATTAGTCACAGTTTCCATTGTACTAGTAAACAAATTTTATTTAACTTCTTTTAGAAAGGAAGCTCATTTATGGTAGATGTTTAGCATATGATTTTATGGTATTGGTTTGCAGCTGTTGAAACAATCAGAATTAGTCTTAGTTCCCATCGTACCCATGTATATAAGCTTGTTCGGGTTTTGTTTCTTTCAACTTTACTAAAGTCTCATGTAGAACATAATTTTCCATTAGAACTTGGTTGATTTTTCAATGTGACTGTGTGGTGCAAATCTCTGTTTTTGGGATCTTTTGCATATAAATTTTGTACCTTTTTTTGACAATCTAGCGACTTTTGTGTTAAACAATTCATAGCACTTGTTGATCTATGTGATTCTGCAATCAAAAATGCAAAACTAGACCAGTAGCTGTTAGGTCAAATGAGGCAGCCTTATGTTTCCCATTTTGATCTTTGAAATCGAAGAATATTCTTGATAGAGATTCTAACTTTCTTTATCATCATTTATTTGATTCTATTGCAAGGGAAAAAAGTTCTTTTAGTGTTAAAATTTCCTGAAAAATCAGTACTTCTACTTTCTTGATCATGCCTCCTGGATTTGGTTAAAGCCTAATTTCTTTTCCTTTTAGCTGGTTGAACTTACTTTCGCAGGGGATTCTGGAGCTGTGTGTCTTAGTATCCAGTGTTCTGTTTGCTATCTGATCAATTTTCGGGATTGATAAGCTAATCCTTTGAGTTAAAGAAGTTGCATTTAACATTTCAGTGTTAGAAACTAGAAATCTTTGTTGGATCATTACAAGAAAAGCTAACCATCTCAATTTCTTTACATTTGTTGCCCATGTGTATCACTGTTTTTGGATCCTCACACCTTAAAACATTTTTGGTATCCTGTTCCTTTTTACATATCGTTATTGCATGACCTCTCCAAGTACCTGGGAGTTCTTGAATGTTCCACAATGAAATTGGCTTGCATTTAGGCTCTTTCTATGATAGTTGCAATCTACGTAGCTTACTTCTCTATCTTTTCTCACAGCAGAAACAAGAGTATTAAGGGTGCTAGACTTTGAAAACTAGTTCTCTTCAAATGGCGTTGGCTAGGGTTGCTAGGAGCAGCTTGAGAAGATCAGGAGGTGGCATTGGTTGTTACTCAAGCGGGAGGGAAATCTTCTGTGAAGGAGTATCTGCTGAGAGATCTGCCCTACCTTCCTTTGACAATGTCAAAGCAAATGGCAATTCATCATTCTTTTCGGGGACAATGAAGGTAGATCACTCAAGCTTTTGGAGAAGAGGAGTAACAACAACTCCACATTATCATTCCCCCTTAGCAGAGAGGATTGTAGAAGGTACTGAATTGGGACTTGATCATGAAGAACCAAGGTATGCAGGACTGGAAGCAACCAAGCCAGGTGAAAAGCCTAGAGTGGTTGTCCTTGGCTCTGGATGGGCAGCATGCCGGTTCCTCAAGGGGCTTGACACTAGAATTTATGATATTGTTTGCATTTCACCAAGGAACCACATGGTGTTCACCCCTTTACTCGCTTCAACTTGTGTCGGTACCCTGGAATTCAGGTCTGTAGCTGAGCCTGTTAGCCAGATACAGTCTGCATTGGCAACAGAACCCAATTCATACTTTTATCTGGCTTCTTGCACAGGCATTGACACTAACAAACATGAGGTCAGTAGTTGTCTACAGGTTACATATTTTGTATTGGCAGATGTGCTTCCCTTTTTTATCGACAGCCACATTGATTAAAAACATGATCATATATTATCTCTCAAATCGTCAGGTGTACTGTGAGACATTGAGCAATGGACTACTACCTCGTGAGCCTCACCATTTCAAAGTTGCATATGACAAGCTTGTGATTGCTGCTGGAGCTGAGCCTTTGACTTTTGGTATCAAGGGAGTTAAGGAAAATGCATATTTCCTTCGCGAAGTGAATCATGCCCAGGAAATAAGGAAGAAGCTCCTCTTAAACCTCATGCTCTCTGAAAATCCAGGTAAATTTGTTTTTCCATCATAAATTATTAAAATTCCCCAATCCTATAGGCTGGCTCCTTTACTTCCTCTTCTGCTTCTAATGGTCAAATTTCATTCAAAGATTCATGAACAAGCCTGATGACTAAAGTTGTTCCCTTTTTGTTTGGCCACTGAAGTCATTAGATGTGAGATCTTCTGAAAATTCAATTTCTGGTTACAGGGGTATCAGAAGAAGAAAAGAAACACCTTCTACACTGTGTCATCGTTGGAGGTGGCCCTACTGGAGTGGAATTTAGTGGTGAATTGAGTGATTTTATAATGAAAGATGTTGAGGAGAGGTATACTCATGTTAAGGATTACATCAAAGTCACATTAATAGAGGCAAATGACATTTTGTCATCCTTTGATGTTGGACTAAGACAGTATGCAACAAACCACCTGACCAAGGTAATTCATCTTGTAGGATTTTTGATGTTTCTTCATAAATCTTGGAGCATTTTTTTTGACATTTGGAATTTTTCAGTCTGGTGTTCAACTCAAGCGAGGCATTGTGAAAGAGGTTCTTCCCAAAGAAATCATTCTCAATGATGGAACTGTGGTTCCTTATGGCCTCCTAGTCTGGTCTACAGGAGTTGGTCCCTCAGAGTTTGTGAAATCACTTAATCTCCCCAAGTCCCCTGGGGGAAGGTACAAGCACCAGCATTCTTTTAGACTTTCCATTTTCTCTCCCTCCCAACATACATCTAGCATCGTTGTAATTGTATCTACTGGGTAATCCAGGATTGGGGTTGATGAATGGTTGAGGGTTCCTTCTGTGGAAGATGTGTTTGGACTAGGAGATTGTGCTGGTTTCCTTGAACAGACAGGAAAGCCGGTTCTTCCAGCTCTAGCTCAGGTAAAATATATTGGTCCTCCAAAATTCTCCCTTGAAACCGCATCCTGTTTTTGCTAATTTTCTCACTTCCCAAACAGGTCGCCGAAAGGCAAGGAAAATATCTGGTGGAGCTGTTCAACAGGATTGGAAAACAGGACGCAGGCAAGGCTTTCAGTGCCAAAAACATTCCTTTTGGAGACCCTTTTGTTTACAAGCATCTCGGAAGCATGGCATCTGTTGGTGGGTACAAAGCACTGGTGGATCTAAGGCAATCCAAGGTAACCCACAAGCATTTTCTGATAGAATCAAAGTCAACTTCTTTGGTACATCATAAATCCATAACCTACCTCTTCCCAAATCCTTCAATGTTGTACTCAAAATTCAAACTTAACACTTCCAACATGCCTCAAGTTCTAACAACTGACACACCCAGAAAGAATATTAAGACCTTGATCCATGTGAATGTTGTCAGGATGCAAAGGGTATATCACTGGCCGGATTCCTCAGCTTTCTGATATGGCGGTCTGCTTATCTGACACGCGTGGTCAGCTGGAGAAACAGATTCTACGTGGCTATGAACTGGGCAACCACTCTGGCATTCGGCAGGGACAATTCCAGGATAGGTTGATTGACCTTGTTACTCTCTACACTTCATATTTATTCATTCAATTTTGTTAATAGTTTGATTTAATCTGACTGATTCTGGAATTTCGGAACGCAGGTACAAATTAGAGAAGCATCTCCACAAAATTAAGCACAAATTTTGGTTTTATGAGTCAGAGAGGAGCACCAAATCAGTGTTATGAAACCCAGTATACATGATCATGTGATTTTCCTTCTTTTTTTTGTTCAATAAAATTTTTGGTTATCATTATATTAAATCCATTTAGTCTTCATTAGTTAAAAATAAAATAAATCATTTCTTAAAATGAAACTAATTAAGAGTAAAAATTTGAACTCAGAGGTTTGAAATTCGACCTCTCCGGTGGGTAGTGAGAAAGTATTACTAGATGTAGAAAACTAAAACAGGAAATTTTAAATTGATACAGTCAAGTAACTTGAAGACAAAACTGAGTGAAATTTATGTTTTTCTATTACATAAAATGATAATTATACAAGAAATAATGATAATTATACAAGAAGTGATGCTTTTCAACAGATTTAAATTTGAATATAAGATTTTCAACTTACAATCTCAAACTTAAACAGTTGAATTAGCATTTGGAATTCGAAATTTCATCTTATATTCATAATAGTGGGAACTATGCACAAAATCAGACATGAACACCTAAAAACAGGACAGCTCACATCTTTCCGAGGAGGGCAGGACGACTCCTACAAAACCCTCAAAATTTTTGGTATCTTTCCGAAGTTAGGACAGCTGAGCCGCCGCCCTGCGGCTACCGAGAGAGAAGATAGAAGCAAAAGAGTGAGCAATTCCGATTACTATCGCCGCCTTCACCTTTCCCCTCATGGGGATCCGACGGCCGTACATACCTGGTGACAAACTCGGACCGCCGCTGGTCATTGCCTTCTTGATCCCGGCCATCGCTCTTCTTGATTCTTACAAGATCTCGAAAACCGATCTATGTTGGACCTAGAGAGGAAAGCGGATCGAATTTGTGATGAATCCCCAGATGCACAAGAACGGTTTAAATAGAGGACGGATCTCCAAACAATGCCTTTGGATTTTTTGAAAGTGCAACATTGCCCTTGTTTGAACAATTATTTACCGGCAGAAAAGCCCCTGAACTTGTCTCAAAATAGCATTTAAGCCTTAAACTAAAAATGAAGTAAATAAACCCCCCAATTCCATGGCTAGTACCAATAAACCCTTATCACAAATGGCCCAAACAACTTGATTCAACGTTGTCTATTTTCTAACTTTTTCTATTCCATGTA